AAATACATTGGTTTGTAGAAAAAACAAGTCTCTATCTTTTGAGATATTGTCAAAGTACTAAAATTGATCGATACATGGATCTCCGACCCACCCCCTCTCTGTGTTTCATCTCTCATTTTTCAGGATTACATTCTATCGGGCTAAATTTTGTTTTTATCAGTAATTTTGTTCAGGCTTTCTTCTGAAGTCATAAAAAGAGTAGGTCAAAAATTTTCTCATGACAGGTATTCTCGACTGAGCCGTGGACTCTCTCTTAAGTGAACATTGTCTTAGTCAAAAATCGGTTTGATCCTTTAGACGGATTCTCTTGTTAGTGTAGAGTCGTACATAAAATATTTTGTTTATCTCAAACTATCTATTTTACAATAGCCATTAGAAATATTTCATCAATTTAACGGAAAAACAAACAAATGTAGGATCTCTATCAATCTCAAGAGACATAATAACATGTTCTATTTTATCTTATAATCATTCAGATCTAAAACTACAAAGTATTTTTGTTTTCCTGTTGAGCATATAAAATAATATTTCACATAGATATATTTTTTTCGAAGATTTATTTTCAAATATCTTTGTTGTCAAAGTACATTCAAAAAAACGCACTGTATGAAATATGTGCTATTTTAATATAAAGTTTCAATAGGAATTGTTCGTTGTTCATCGTCTTTTTCCAAGAAGAATGCCTTCATTAGGTAGATCACGTTTTCCCAAAAGTATAGCTTCATTAGGTAAATCTCGTTTTCCCAAAAGTATAGCTTCGTTAGGTAAATCACGTTTCCCCAAAAGTATAGCTTCGTTGGGTAAATCTCGTTTGCCTAAAAGCACAGCTTCATAAGGTATTCGACGTTTTCCTAAAAGGATGGCTTCAGCAGGTAAATCACGTTTTCCTAAAAGCACAGCTTCATGAGGTAATCGTCGTTTACCAAGAAGGATAGCTTCACTTGGAAGTCGAACTGCACGTGCTTCTAATCGACGTTTGCCCAACATAATACCAACATAACCTTCAGGAATATCACTGTTACTGAAAGTACGTTTTTCAAATGATGGACTTGTTTCGTATAGATCTTCATCATATGTTTTATCAATAGGTACATCATCATTATGTATTGGTGTAGCTTGGAATGAATCAATTAAAAGTAGAAAACCTTGAAAAAAAATTTAAAAAATCAAAATATTTATGTTTACTTGATTTAACTAAATGATGATCATTGATCATTCGAATTCTCTTTTTTTTTCATATCTATATTCGTGTTTTTAATAATATTATTCTAACTTACCCATACTAAATAGAATTGTATAGATTATCGGATTGGAAATCATTTTGATTGGATTAAAATTAATAATGACTCTATAAATGAAGCTCGAATCTGAAATATTACTATACAAAAACAATATATATACATATATACGTAATCATAAATTCTCATGAGAAGTCAACAGGAAGATTCTCTATATGTATTTTCTACTTTTTGTTCTTTTTTGTTGCTCGAATTTTCTTTCGCCGATTATTATCGGCAAACATAGGCGATGAGTATATAAAATATGCATAAAAAAACTAAGATAATGATTGTTAAATAAACTGTTTCAATAGCTTTATATACTCTCTCGTGTCCAATTTAAGAAAGAGAGAGGAAGAAAAGAAGGAAAATTTTCTGTATTTTTCTTCCCTCTGTCAAAATAATGATGTTATATATGTAGGCGATTTTTGACTTTAGTATCTTTCTTTTTCTTACTAATAATTTCTGTTAATCAGATCAATACAAAAAGAAAAGATAGAATTAAGTTATATAAAAGAGATAAAAAAATATGTTGTCCTTTGTTTGTTTTTTTTTGAATATTTAAATCGAATTGATAAACACAGGATTTAGCCTGAGGGTAATATATGACAATCAAAAATGATGTGCCTCCCACTTGAAAGCTTTGTTCCTTTTTTTTTCTTTATTCTTGTCATTATATGATTATCGAAATGATTCCCTTGGGCATGAACAGTTACTTGTTTTATTAATCAGACAAGTTGAAGTACAAGCACATCTCGATTGTTGTCATTGCGTATACAAATTCGATAAGTGACATTCAAATACACACACTTCAAATATTAGCAAGATAAATTTGATTGTCGATATGAAAGGATTAATCGTGAAAAACATTTAAGTTCTGTTTTGGTTTTCTCACATCTTGAGAAGAACGAAAAATTCGCCACACGAAATTTACAGTATACTTTACACTGATATTTTTTCACAATGAAACTTTTGTGCAAATATGAAAAATTGTCCGAAGCGAAGCTAGTAAAAAATCTTTCCCGTTGCATTGATCATAAGATAAAAGCAACATATCTTAAATAGTCATCTACATCGAGATCACGGTCTTGTTAAAAAAAAAAGAAAAAGAAAAGTTTTTAGAACAGTCTTTTCTAACGAGACTAGAAGAGTGATTCGAGTTGAGATTTTTGTTCACAATTGTCTCCTTTTCAGAATATAGTATAAAACTTGAGAACACAATAATCCCCAGCAGAGAAAAATGCTGCGCATTGATCGTGACCAGCATCAATCACGGCTAGTCACGAAAATGTTAAGTCACGAAGATACAAGGTTCAAGTTGAATTTATTCTTTCTAATCTTGTGATGAAAACCTGTTCAGAAAAACTATTCTTTTTTTTTTGGTCGCGACCGTGACTACAATATGGATCTCTAACTTTTTTGCACATTCATTTTAAAGAATATTTTGAAATCTGAATAATATTCTAATGAGAACGCACAAGATTAAACTTCTATGCATACATCGATATTTCAATGAATGTGATGACTATTGTCTAGAAATTTTATTAGAAATTTTTACAACGAATGTAACTCACAGTCGCCACCATTTTTGATTAGGTAATAAAATTTTATCCTGTTATTGATAGATTCGATAAAATATTTGTCAAGGAAATGTTAATCGTCACATTTCTGGGCCATAATTTGGATAAATTCTTTGTTTTTAGACCAATATGAGTGAATTTCAACTGACTTAATCTCTATTTTAGATGAACAAGAGCCAAAAGTTTTTTTTTTAAAGTGATCCGATGACTTTGAATTCATATTCTAATTTTATACCATAGTATGACACAAATATTCTTGGAAATCTTTTCAGATTTGGAAGTCTTTGTTCTTCGATATATTTCAAGAGGATAGACAAAATTTCATATCGCAACTTATCATATTCATATTTCTTACTGTGAATTTTGACATAAATTCAGCTAGATTTCCGTTATTATATGTGTGTGTTGATAGAAAGAGAGCGTACTTTCGGTCACTAAACTTTTCGAGCTGTGATCGTTCATTGTTTCTTTTCGGATGCCTCTACACAACACAGACAATTTTGCATCCATATTTAGCACTTGGTTTGCGAAGATCAAATAGATTCATATATAATCAAAACAATTAGTGAATGAGGTGCGTATATCCGTAGAATATCTACATACATTTAAAAATATTATTTCCTAGGTTAATATTATAATATCTATGTTTGCTTTATACACTATACTTTGAATTTTATCCAGATCAGCGACACTGTTAAGTAATCGGTCTAATTGACAGTAAGGGACACTATGGAGTGAGGGTGAGATTGTCATGTGTTTCGAGCAACATATATACTTTAATGAGAAATACTGTTATGAAATGAATGTTGAAAACAATCCACTGATATAGTTAGAAATCCACATTTTACAGACAACTTTGAGAGGTGCAATTCTCGATTCAGCACCACTCAATGATTTCTCACTTGCACCCCTTATAAATTCAGTCATGATTTATCAATTTAAAAGAATAGGATATGCCCTCACTTATTTTCCTGGTCAATCATTTAAAGAATTTATTCTCGAATGGTTATTGGTTCAGCAGAATCAAAATAGTAATTCGGCATTTATCAAATGACGTATCAGCAATAGAGATGTGCGAGACCACTTCCGCTCCGGTCATCGGGATCAGAACTACGCGAAAAAAGTGTTATCCCAACTGGAACCCCAGATTACAGGTAAGTATTCTATGGTTTTAGGCGAATTATCTCATAAATCAGAACAAAATTCAAGAGCTTCTGCTTTAAAAGTGTTAGTTGTTGACTAAATAAATCAAAAAACAAATATCAAAGAATTTTTCTTTGCTGTGATACTAATAAATACTAGAATAGTTTTCTGTAGACTGGAATCAAGTTAGTACTAGGACTAAAAATACTTGATTCTACACATCTTTAGTCAGCGATCAGTGTTAAGATACATACTTTGAATACGAAAAATGAACAACAGGTACCATACAATTCACAACTACATATCATCATGCACTGGTACTTTAGTATCAAAGTATTCAATTGGAAATTCAATACAGCACAGTCATAAAAACATACAACTTAATTCTTTTCATTATAATTATATCGTGTCTGTGAGTTATAAATACTAATAACTTTTGTATTTTTCTTGTTATGTTTTATTATACAAATTATTATCTTCTCTTGTTACAAGTTTGTTCGCACTACCGCTGGTATATCCGCAGTAGATTGTCCGGTTTGAATCACATGGGATTGTAATTTATAATATTAGGATCGAATTGGATGTAAAACTTTTGAGAGTGTTCCACTATTGTAAAACAACTGTTCAAATTCATGTGTACAATTATTACTTTAAAGTAAGTTTACTTATATTTTCGACATACAATCTTCTTTCAGTAGATCGATCTCTTTCCTAACAGTTTTTTTTTTTGATAAAGTAATCATTCTAAAAAAGCAGGTTGTGATTATGTTTTAGATAATGCTAAAAATAAAAAATTCGTTTTAATGCCATCGAGTTATTTTTTTTGAATACATATATTAAAAAAATGAATATGTAACTGATACAATAATAAATTTAATGAATATTTTAAATCAATCGTGATACTCTTCGTATTGTTTATTTATGAAAAAAAAAGTGTGTATACAATATAACAAATACTGAGAACCTAAAACACAAAAATAACAAATAAGCGAAAAAAAAATTAGTTCAAAGTTTTGTTGTCAATTTTAATTTTTTTCGATATAACGTCAAAATTATTAATATTATCAAATGGTCTTTTCAAATTAAATTTCTTTTCTTCTTGAAAAAGAATTTTTGCTATTAAATCATTTACACATTGTTTAATAATAATTAAATGATGTTTCTTTTTCTTTTTTTCTTCTTTATGTTTTCGTTTTTCTTGTCGACGTAAATTACGTTCTTCTTGTTCAACTTCAATTTGTAGTAATAATAATTCATCTTCTTCATTTAAATCAAGTAATTTTGATAAATCACTCATATCAATTTCATCATTTGCAATTTTTGTATTTGATTCAATCATCTCACATGATGAATGCTAAATAAAAGAAAAGTTTCATTTAAACACAAAAAACAACAAGGATTTTTTTTACCCTTGACATTCGTTCTGATGATGAACTTAATGAATGTGAACGTTGCCTATAACGTATTCGCTCTAAAAATATCGGCGATGGACTACGTTCATTGACTTCGGTCTTTTTTCGTTTAAGTAAATCACCTAATGAACCTTTTTTGGGTGGTCCTGCTGGAATTTTATGTTGTATTTTTGGTGGTAATCCATATTGATATTCTTTATTTATTGATAATTCAGCTGATGATAATGGACGTTCACCATCAGGTAAAACAAAATCATCCATATTAAGTAAATCATCTATTTCTTGACGTATATCATTTTGCTGTTGTTGTTTTTGTCGATTCACAATTCGACGAACATTAAAATTTGTTTGTTGACTACGTGTTAAACTTGCTATTGGTTTAAATTCAAATTTTGGTAAAATTGTTCCAATTGATTGTAAAAGTTTACCAGTTTGATCTGGAAATGGTGTTAATTCATCATCTTGTTCATTACGACGAAGATTTTTTAATTTTTTAATTTTTTTAAAATCTTCATAATAATCATTAACATCTTCATTAGCACCAATTATTGCTGGAGCTGAAAGATTATTATGAATTGTTGTTGGAGATGAAGAATTTTCTGTAACTGCATACATTTGTACTGGACGAAATTTACTGTTTGGTAGAGATCTAAAGATGAATTTAAGGAAACTAATTATTTGAAACTGTACAATGAAATGTTTTTAATTAAATCTTTGAGTCTGACTTAATTAAAATTCTCAATTAGGAAAGGTCTTTTAATTTATATAAGACAGTGAAGATTTTGTATTAAAAATGATGGGTGAAGAAACTCTGTTGCTGGATGTATTGCTATTGAGATAAGTGTTTCCTTCTCGAGTTATGATTATTTTAATGAATGTGTCACAAAAGATTATCATGAACCTTCTTTGATTACTTTCAACATCGATTTTCGAGGTTTTTACTATGTACAAATAAATCTCTTATCATGAAATATCAATCTTGAAAATTCTATGAGACAAAAGAATCGAACTTTATTCTTTTATTTAACTCGAGATAGAAGATATTTATAAATCAGACGCCTTGACAATAAACTTTTACCATGGAGAACTTCATTTATACAAAGTTTGGATTCGAAAATGGGTTTTAAAAGAGATTTGAGGATGATCATAGCAATCTATTGAAAAACTCACTATAAGAATCATAACTGATGGCACATGAATTCTTCTAGATTTTGTCTAGTCTCCATAGGACTTTTTCTAATCACGATGATCTCCACTATAGATTGCCTTGCATCTTATGAGAAAATTCTTGAGATTTAATGTAAGTACTGAAGACGAAAAATGATCAGACAACTATGTTTTTTTTTTGCATTTGTTCAATTGTGTAAGAGCAGAGTGAAGGTTTTTTTCTGATCGCTGACGGATGACTCTCAATTATAAAATCTGTTCTTTATTAGAATCGACAATCTAAACAGCAATTATTATTTTTGAGCACCTTTTCAGACATTTCAACTATCTACTAGTAAAAGAACATTTCCTTTTTTCTTCGAGTTGTTGCACAGGCAGAACATACAAATAAGAATACATAAATATCTGGATACTTTTTGTTTTGTTAAGACTTATCTCTATAAATTTCATACTAATATAGACCTATCCTTATTATATAGTCGCATATGAATTAATCTATTAATATTTAGAATTTTTTTGTATTTCCAAGTGAATCAACTTGCAAAATTAAGTCGTTTCTATAGCATACTCAAATTTTTTTTGAATAAACTTATAAAACATTCTATTATATGCTGAATTATGGAAATTCTTTCGTTTAATATTATATACTTTTTATTATCATTCGTCGGAGGTACTGTTGTTGTTGTTGTAACACTTGCAGCATTATTATTTGTTATATCTAATGATGATTTTAAACGTGGATATACTAAAAAGAAAAATAAGACTTTGTCAACTTGCTCAGAAAATTAATTGAAATAAAAGTTTCATCAAAAAGAAATCTTCAGATTAACGTGAAGAAATAAAATCATCATCGCAAGGACTTACATGTAAATATATCTTGTTCATCTTCATCTGTACTATCTTCTGTACCACTTGATGAAGTCATTGGTTGTGCTAAGGATAATAAAATATTATTAAAATAAGTAATATTCTTCTTATGATATAATACCTAGTAATATTGTACGAATACGTTTTTTTGATAAAATATCGAGTTGATCGAGACATCTTCCTTTGATTTCGTCAATAGAACGTGTCTAAAAGAATATTAAAATAAAAAAAAATACAATTTCAATAATCTATAAAATAAACTTTTGTTTAAACATAATCTATTAGATTGAAAAAACAAGAAAACCAAAAGAACTTGCATTTTAATGACCTTACCTTGAAATTATTCAATAAATAAGAAAAAAATATTTTAGAATTATATCTGAAAGATAGGGGATGATTGAGTGAAAGTTAAAAGTAAAAGAACAAATATTATTATTATTATAAAAATATCTCTCTAAAAAATAATATAGGTTCGGCGATAATAATTGTGTCGCTGTACCAATGAATAAATCATATAAATTAATCTAAAACAAGCATCGATTATCAAACGAACTAAGTTTTTTTTTCTTTATATCAATCTCCTTTTGTTTTAAATAATAAAAATTTTACCCTATTACCTTTAATGCATCCGGTAGAATAGCTTGAAGTTTATGACCACGAACACATCGAAACATTTCATGTAACATACGTTCACGATCTTTGATATAATAACCAATGGGTTTAAGATCTTCATTTAAATTAAGCATGCTTCCATCACTATCATTGCCATCGGAACGATGTTCATCTTCACTAGAATCGATAATTTGACCCGAAGAATTTGTCTAAAAAAAAAGAAAATATTCAAAATATTCCACAAGTTATTTTTCGATTTTAATTTACTTTTTTAGTTAATTTTTTAAGTTTACGTTGTCGTTGAGAATTTGTACTGCCATCACTGTCAATATCTTTATCTTTCGAACGTTCCTTAGCAGAACCTGATAAACGACGAGGTCGTTCACTTGTATCGGAATCAGTCCTCGAATCATCTGAACGTTTCATACCTTGCAATTCATAATCTTCATGTAAACCAATGGTTTTCATTTGCTAAATAAAAATAATTGTATTCTCAATGAGCTCTTTTAAAAACTGGTATTCAGGCTAATATAAACCGTAGGTGAGGACAGGACAGGGCACACTCATTCATATCATAGTCTTATCTGCATTACAGTGGACCAAATGAAACGATATAATAATGAAAAAGCTTTTTGTGCAAATTCTACGAGATTAAAATGTGAAATATTATGTAACTATTGTTATTAATCACAAGAAGTTTGGTTTATTGGGAAAAATTTCTTTACAATCTTTTTACTTAATCTATCAAAGACGCAATAAGAAACTAGTCCATATATTAGACCGAGACGTTATTGATAGGTGGTCTTTGATCGTACATTAACAACTTCGTTTGTGTTCACAAAATTTAACTAGTGATTGTAAGTTTAAAACTGATCTATTCTGTTGAGATCTTCGATGGAGAAACAACAGTACAGGAGAATGACAATAATGAATATCACTTTAATATGAAAAGTATACTAGCTCGAATTTGAAAGTTAACTGATATAGATGATGATAGACCCAGAAAATTTTCTAGGAGATGCAGGGCAATTAAGTCTTCGCCTAACGATAACACGGGATATGCTCTTCTAATGTTAATGAATTGATCATTCAAATCCTAAGTAAAGTTCAGCTCTGTCCTGCTGCTGCCTGGCTTCGCCATTAGATATAAACTAACAATTGACCGTTTAATAATATTCAACAATATCAAAACGAAAAATTTCGGTTCTTATCTGGCATAGTTCGAACTAGATATGCGCAAAAAGGCTCCGGTCCCGCTTATATTTAGTTCGATTAATTGGTTTAATATCTGCTAGTTTCATAAGTAATAAAAAATAATTCTTTAGAATGTACTTAGTTATAAAAGAAAAATGAATCCATAGACGAAATGAAATCATGAACAACTGGATATATACTTTACAAAATAGACAATGAAAATAAGGATACGATCACTTCTATTGGATAAAGATTTTAAAGCTCAAGTGTTTGACGCATATCATATCCAGAATGAAAAATAAAATAAAATTTTTGATGATTAATAAATTGTTCATTACAAAAAATAACAGATTAATCGTGTTGAGAGAAGAGGAGGGTATCTCTTTCAATCCTAAGAAATATGTAATGTTTTCCTCATTAGCTTTCGAAAGAGCAGTTGGATTCATTAATCGATATATAAGTTTTCCTAATCTTTTGAAACTAATGACAACTATAATTACTCTTTGTTTAATCATTAAACCTCTATGTGCCTAATTCTTTTCTGTCTACAATTAATTACCATTGATAATATAATTTTTTAATCAGTAACTGCAACAAAAATATTCAATCTTGTTTTATGAAATTTTCTAATTATTACGCACTACAATGAATTTTTAAACTATCGAATGATCAACTGATTTTAATTCGAGTCAAGACAAAAAACGATTCAATTGATAACAAACTGAAAATAATTTTCTCTACTCTTTCATGTCCACTTTCGTAGGCTTGAACGAAATAGTTCTATTAGATGTTTAATCAATATTTCTTTTGAAAAAAGAAAATAGAACACTTACTAATCGTCGTGCAAGGCCATGAATTTTCTTTTCCGCTTCATCTGGATTCGTTGTTGATACATTTGCAGTTCCATTACTTTGTGTTTGTTGAGATCTTGCATATTTTTTAAATTGTTGTACTTTTTTATTTAAATATTTTTGTGTTCGTTCTCGTTTATTATTAACAACAACAGCTGCACCAGCTAATGTATTAGCCATCATTTCTGGATTTTGACTTTGTATAATATCAGCAAGTAATGTACTGAAATTATTTGAATCATTTAATAATTCACGTGAATCAGCTATTGTTTTTGTTCCAGATGATGTACGATTTCGATTAGATTTTGTTGATGAAAGTTTTTGTTTCGTAGAGTTTTTAAGTATAGGTGATGATTTTGATTTACCAGCTGCTTCTTTTTCCTCTTCACGACGATTATGATGTTCATCTTCAGAATTATTCGATGATTGTGAACTTGAATGATGTCGTTGTTGTTTTTGTTTTGAATGTTTTTCTAATGTTGTTGAATCACCTTCATCATCATCCGATGCGGTAAATATATTGCGTCCAAGTAAACGAAAATTAAAACGCATTTCACGTGGTATATGTTGCATAGGAAATGATGCTTGATATAAATTACTTACTTTTTCTCCGGCTTTTAATTTTTTATAATTATCTTGAAATTGTTGATAAAAACGATTACTTGGATTATTTGCATTTGGGTATTTGACATTTGAACCAGGTTTTTGGTTTTGTTGCAAAAGATTACTCATATTTTGTATCATATTTGCCATATTATGAACATTATGCATATAAGTAGAATTATTTATTGAACTCATATTACCACGAAAATTTGTTAGAGGAGGACGATAACCACCGAGTAATGATTGTGATTGACTATTACCATTATAACGATGGTTACTATTGTTATTTCGTATAGATGGATTACCCATCATTGATGATGGATTATAAAGCATACGACCACCTCGAGCATGTACATTCGATGGTTTTGGATAACGATGATTCATATTGGGAATAAAATTTGACATTGGTGAATAAATATTTGATCTATTTGAATTAGAATGATGAAGAGCATTTTTATGACGATGACGAGATGGAGAATCATGAGTATCGGATCTAAATAAATTATTTTTAGAAAATCAAGTTTAAAGTGAAAAGATAAATCAAGTGAAATTAACAAGGGTTTATATTGAACTACTATTGTACGTTGTTTGATCTTTATGAGTAGGATGTAGTGAGACGAAAAAACCTTAAATGGGTTTGAGCTTGTGTAAAAATCAACTATGAGATATTTACCCATCGGCAGGTTTTATAACCACTAGAATATCCTAAAAGTTTCAGCTCAAATTTATGTACTCTTCTTCAGAAACTGAGTATCTAACAAATGCTTATACATTGGTCCTCAAAATTATTTTCTCAGGTTTATTTTCAACACGAATTTTCGAAGACGAAAATGGTTGCTAGTTTTACAAGGATAGAGTTTCCGAAAAATCAAAAAACAAGTTTTTTGACTCCTAGAATTAACAAATAGAACATTGTTTGAGTTACGTAGAATGATGGAAGAAACGAATCCCTACAAAATGAAACTTCTTTCAGCTCTGTATGCCGATTTTTCACTGAAATATATCAGTCTAACGGAAGGCACAAAAATGATGTTTTCATTCAAAATAAAAGGAAAAACGTTGTAGAAAATTGTTTGTTTTTATCAGTCTGTGTGATTCAAATAGAGCTGTAGTTGCACAGTCTAGGTGCTGAAAAAGTTGATTTTGGATTTTTCAGAGATACTAAGCTGCGAGCACTAGCAATCCTTTTTTATTTTCAAAAAATCTTGTTGAAAATAAAATTCTCTACATCAATCAATATTTAGATTCTGTTCAACGATCAATGCAGTCGAAAAAAAACTTGGGTGAATAATTTTGCGAAAGAATGCATTAGTTTGCACTAAAAGTCTTAGGATATTCTCGTTTTACCTATCTACAAGCAAAACCTGAAAGTTTTATGTTCCATGTATAACTAGCTTAGAGACCAAATGCCTATTAAAACAGTCATAATTCTGCATGAATTCGAATCCTTTTAAGAACTTTTTGTTCCGCTGAATTACACTCAGAGCTAAAATATGGAGTCAAAGGGCATCTGACAGTTGAATATATTCCCTGGTAAGCTTTGCCTGTAATCTGATACATCACATGTAAAGAATAAAGACCTATTGATTGAACAAAAAATGTTTGCTCGTAAAGTATCTCAATTCTTTTTGTTTTAGAGAAACTACTATGGAATGTTTTAATTGAAAGCAACGTCACTCGAGACACGATCACCTTATATTTCCGATGAAAACAGATTCAAGACAATCATTTCAATCGTCAGAAACACTTATAAAATGATCTAAGATAACGTGAAAAGTTCAACAACAATGTATTGTTGATACTTTTCGTGTAGTTTTAAGCACCTAACTCAAATCTAGATAGTGATTTTAATAGTCAATAGAGTTTTCTATCAAATATATTTTATACAAGGTGAACTATGATGGTAAGGCTTCTAAATAACAAGACACGGTGGTTTTCAACTCTCAGAAGACAATTTTTTGAACTATACCATTTTGAGGAGTACAAAATTCTGAAGAAAATGCGAAGTTGTCGCATTTTCTACAATCTTCCATCAAAAAATTGAAACCATCATAAAAACAACGTCCTTTCCCAGTTTTCGTGATACTTTTAACTTTTTAAACGAAGGTTATAGAAAATGCGGTAACCCCTTATTTTGTTCAAAACTTTGTACTCTTGAGAAGGACATTGTTAAAAAAACACTTTTATCGGATCTGAAAACTACCGTGTCTTGTTTTTTTTAGAAATCTTATCGTCATACTTCATCTAATTTAGAATGCATTTGATAGAAAACTCAATTGGATATTTAAATGATTATTTGGTTTTGACCTAAGTGCTTATCATTATAGCAAAAACAAAGTAAAAAATACATTGTTTTCAAACTTTTTTTTATCGTTTTATTACTACATTGAGTTTTATCGTAGTTTTTCATCGTGCTTTACTGGGTTACGTAAAATGATGATGTCATGATGTCAGTTTTCTAGAACTTGAGGATTCAACTTTGAGGCTATCGTTTTTAACATTGATTTTTTTAGAAAAGTGTCTAGTAAAATATTCGCAATGATCAGTAGAGATGATGAAATCATATTGTAATTTCATATGTCCCTATCTCTTGGAACTTCATCACATCATTGCATTTATCAATGAAAGAAATAATGTTTAAATAAATGACTAACCTATCACTGGATCGACTTCGAGATTTTGACCTTGAACGACTTTGTGATTTTGTTGTATTATTATTCCGCCGATATGGTGACTCTGATGAATCATGTTTAGAACGATTTGATTGTTTTTTATTCTTATTTGATGATTCAGTATCATTATTATTATTATGTAATTCAGCAGTTGATGAAAGTTTTGTTTTATCTTTGGAATTTTTTTCAGATGAATTACTTATATCATACTTTTTTCTTGATGTTGAATTACGCCCATGTTTAGTTGATGAATACGATGATGATGATGATGATGATGATGAAGATGACGATGAACGTTGTTGTTTACTATATTTAGATTTATGATGGCTACTTTTTGATTTCTTCGATTTTTTCTTTTTGCCATTTTTTGATACTACGACGGTAACTTTTGACAATGATTGTTGTACAACTGTTTTACTATCTGTACCCATGAGAAGGAAACAAATTAAATAATGAAAAAGAAAAACAAAATCGGAATCTAGAAAAAAGAAAATAAAACAATGTGTATCGTACTTTTATACATTTACATATGTAGTCTACACGTCGGAAAATTATTTCAATGTAATTTTGCCATTGCCTCTATTATGATTAACTATTTTACATCAACCAATGAAAAATCAATTATGTAGAGGTCATCAATATATGTATTATAAAATGTGAAATTTTCTGATGAGACTTAATTAATTAATAAAATATATACTATGTATAGAGTTGCAATGAAATCATCGAGAAAAATATAGAGTCTTGCATGAGTACGTTTTGAAGGACATAGCCAGTGCGTTCCAGCAGAACAGCTTTGATAATTGTTTTAGTATCGATCACGAAAAAACACTGACAAAGTCTAACTAGAAACGAACTCTTTGGATTTTACCATTACAATCTATCACATCAATCGTTCTTTCCTGCACGATACATTAGGGTGTGACTGTGAGCGTGGATGTGAACCTATATATCACCAACACGCAGTCGTTATTTTTACAGAACCTAAAGAAGTCTTGATTTCGTTGCAAAAAACTCAGAACTATTTTTTAAGTTTTGTATGGAGTCTTTTCTTTTTCAAAATTAGATAAACCCGATCAACACCGGCATGTTGAGGAGAACCATCTTCATCAATACTTCTAATGATGACCACTACAATCACCACAATAGCACAGACTGATAAATAATTTGATTCAATCTACCATACAAAAGTATTTCATCAGTTCTTCCATTGCGTATTCACAACAATTCTCCCTGTCAGCCAACATTTTCAACTATTACAAAATGATCATCATGACAATGAATCTCCGGCGTCGGAAAATTCTTCATGGAATAGTTGGTGCAAAGCTCCGTAACAACGTTGACAACTTGTTCCTTTCCTCCTCGTGTGATTCTATTCGACTGTCAAAAAAACTGCTCATCACGACAATACACTTCGATAGTTTTTAAACTCTGCATAATATAGCTGCTCTGTCGCAATATTGTGAAGTTGAAGCTTTCTCAGCTTGTTTGATCTGGTTCGGTTACCAAAAAGATGATCACCACAGCGATAATGCTGCGCCGTCGAGAAATTCTCTTCAATATAGTTCATGCGTCGCATCGTTAGAACCTTGTGAAATTGATTTGTTGCCTCTTTTCCTTGTTAGGTGTGGGTGCGAATGGAGGTGAAGTGAAAATTGATATGCTGCGTCCACACCCTATGTAGGACATAGAAATAAATAAACATCAGTGAAATGAGTGACAATCTAAACTAATTTAATTCAATTTATTAGATACAATTTGACAAATTGAAGAACAACTATGGTAACTAATGAAATTTGATATTGACAATGTCAATACTATACAGAAAACTTTATTGTCCTATTAATAATGATTATAACGAGTTAAGTCCCAACCTGGTGATGTCACTTTTTTCTTGTTGCGAAAGGTAATGTTATGAATATCTTGATTGTCCCTTGATGACAATCGCCGACGTATTCAATTGCTTTTAAATTTCTGTTTTCAAGAAGTGAAATTGGAGATGGTAATAACGTCATATTAATCAAAACCTAGACAAAGAATTAAAAACGAAGCGATCAGTTGTTCTTTTCTAACATACTGTTGAAATTTTCTTGCCGGTCAAGATTTCGACGAAATGTTTCTTCTCGACATATTGTCGACATAATGAACCTTTACGAGCTACTAAAATCGATCCGATGGTCTTAATGTAAGAAGAGTATTTCAAAATGAACTGTAATTTTTTAAAAGCATTCCTTTTACGACGATAATTTCTTTCTATGTTTCTGGGAAAAAAAATCAATAAGCCTACCGTGAAAAATAGAAACTTATTGCAGATTACAAAAGAAAATATATGCTCAACGATATCAAACAGTGTACTTTCGTTCAACTTACAAACGAGGAAATAAATGTACAAGATACAACTTATGTTCTACAAAACTCAATTTATACATATACGATCTTATCATATATAGCACAATGTAACGGTAAGAGCGACATGTGAAAAATGAAGATATAATCCATGGAACGGAAAATGACGAGGGTTTCACCAGAAACCAGTAACTTAGTGTCGACATTCACCTTTTTTAATCGATTGAAATACTGCGAAACGACTAAAACAATATACATTTTTGAAACCGCGAAAACTTCAATAAGCAAAAGCTTCAGAATAAACAAACACTATATGGATTATGGTAGGTTTCTAAGCCTCTACTACTCGTTCTCATGTAACGCTTCCTATGTAATTAGAAACATTTGCTAAACATTCGTATTTATACTTATATCTAATGTTTATGATCTTTTAATAGACTATTAGTTACTTTCTTAACTTCTGTGAATTGTTTCCCTGTAATGCCAATAAAATTTCTTTAGTAGTTTTCGTTTCTCGCATTGCGATTACTTATCGTGACGTCCAATTGTTATTCAAGTAATTGTTGGATACTCCCAACAATGAATATACTAAATTATTTTCAGAGAGTAAAGAATGAACGACAATTTCTGCTAATGACTTTGAAATATTGGAAAACGAGCAAGAATCTATAACTCATATAGACCTTTGAACTTCAAATATAATTTGTTCAATATAATAACATAAAATTCAATTAATGCAATAGAAATGAATAATATTGCCATTATACACCTAAAGTTATCATGTTTTGAAAACCAAAAAGAAAAACTATTGAATTAAAAAAAAACTATATTTATTCTGTCTGTTTTTGTTTCTGTTTTCCAATTGCTTCTGCTCGTTTACGTGCCCAATCTGGTAATGGTGCATTCCAATCACTTGGTGGTTGAGTTCTTATTTGCCATACATCATTATTTTCTGACGATAATTTACGTCGAATAAGATGGTCTTCTTCATAGGTTATTAATTTCTTCTATAAACCAAATGCAAAGGTCATTTTAGCAAACAAAAAAGAAAAGAAAATTCGTCTTACTAATTCTTGAACATCTTTTCGTTGTAACCAAAACATACAACTATGTAATGCCTCAGCTATTGGTGTACAATCTTTTCTTTGACCTAACATATATCGTTGATACAATCGACCATGCCAGCCTGATTAAATAAAAACAAAATAGAAGAAGACTCATTTGAAAAGAAAAGAAAACTTACTACGACAATAACTTAATTCATCATTATATTCTTCACATGGTCTAATCTATAAAATAATACGATACAAAACAAGAATCCTCTATTTCATTTTAATCAATTACCAGCCATTCACCAGGAATTTCATGTTTTACATCTGAATTAGTTGACATTATCTATAAATAAAACAACTATTATACAAACAAAAAAAAGAAAGAAAGAAGCAAATTCATTTCAATTCAAATTGAACTACAAAACACACACACACACACACACACACACTGAAAAACAAAATCATTCAATATTCTTTAAGGACGTGTGCGCAATCCCCAAATTGATGTTCGACGCAAACCATAGGTTGGTCGTGCAACATAAGAAAAACGCTGTTGATTTAAACTGATCGATGAGCCAAGTAAGGAATGTAATTTTTGTAAACCACGTTCATCAACAACACCAAATATATCCAATGAAACAAGATGACGTAATTGTTTTAATGATCTAATTAAATAGGTTTTTTCTTTTATACATATTAATTTAAATAAATACATACGCATAAGCAATTGGTGCAATAGCATAACAACGTGAAAATGCTACATGTTCTAAGTAGAGACAATTATGAAGAACACTTGTTACTGATTTATCAGTTATTAAACTTGAATCACTTAAATCAAGAACACGAAGACGAACTGCACGACGTGTTAAATTTTCAACACCTAAAAAGATTCTACAGTTACTAAAATTATGAAAATATAGAAAAGATTTTGTAACAAAATTATAGAATTCGAAAAAAAACAGAATGACTACTATGAATACTGTTTTCTTTTCTTCTAGGGATTAACAATAATTAATTTAGAAACCTGAGATCATTCTACCGTTGACGTCAGATATTAGCTGTTTAGCTTTACTTTCGTGTTCCAGTATTTTATTCAATGTGGAAGCGTAAAAAAATAACTTGACTAATTTCCAGAGACTCAATAGTTTTGAACAAATATTCCTAGACAATTATTTCAGCAAGAGTTTCTCGGAATGCACGTCCGCATACGCAAACTGATTCTGCATCTTTGGCAGCACTCTCCAAAGATAGAATTGATCTTCTCAGAGATTGTGAGCATTCTACCACGTAATATGCTCCTGTGCTCTTAAAGATAGGTATTCGACTTTCAGAAGTTTTATATCGTCTTTCCTAAAGAAAAAAATCTGGATAAAGCCTTTTCGTATTCTTGTTCTTTTCATTATTATTGATCTTTCTTTACATTTCAGATATTGTACAAAATCCTTTGTCAATCAAAAACATTAAGTAAGATAAACTTTCGTTTAATAATCTTGTTTGCTTCTATCCATGTCGCACATTTGTTCGTACTATCGTCGATATATCGCGGTAGAATATCTATGGGATGCAAATCGAACAATATACCGGTAATCAATCGGTGGTAGTTTGATACTTAAATCACCGGCTATCATTTGACTTCCATTCTATCGCGGTATAACGAAATTTATTCTCTGACGAACAAATAATACTATCAGAATACGGGCAGTTTTTGTTCAGTTTGAGTCACATGAATAGTTTTCAGTTATTTTAAATTGCTTTGTTAAAGTTTTCGTTTTGCAAATAGTATATAGTTTTTTAAATCTAAAACTCATACATTCATCAGTCATTCCTTGTCTAAAACCAGTCATTGTTAATTGTTCAATGCTTGATTGAATTGTTCGACATATATAGTGAACACATTGGTCACTTAATTGTGTCCAACCCAAATTCAAATAACGTAAACTAAAAGATAAGTTTACAGACAATTTTTTTCTAAGAAAAAAAAATCCTTTTTTTTTAAATACTGTTTCATTTGACTTGTTAATATTGAACAACAATCAAGATCAATACCAGTACACATAGTTAGATTTAACGTATCAAGTTGTGAATTTAATGTCAATTTGCTAAATTAAAATAAACATTCTTTGACCAATTGTATATAAATCAATTTAAAATTCGTACACAAACAAAGCAATTCATTACACGATATGATTATTGTATGCAATAGATCATAAAAAATATTTGATAAGAAATTTTTTTTCATTTATGAATTTTATACGAAACTCAATTATCCTCTTAATATCGATTTTTATATTTTAAAAACTCACTCGAAAATTGACAAATTTAATGGTAATGTTTCAAGACTGAGTTTTCGAAGTGATCGACAAACACTCATTAAACTTAATAAACCATCAGGTGAGATTGTTGCAAGAGTTAAATCAAGAAATTGAAGTTTTGTAAACCTATAAAACACAACGAAAAATTCAAACTAAATGAAAATTGCAAAGAACTCATGGAAAATATACCATGTATTACGATTAGGTGAATAAATCGAATTTCCAAAAACCTAAGTCATATAAATATATTAAAAGAACCTTGTCGAATAAGATGATCACTCTTCGTTTGAAAAACTACCTATACCGTTTTGTAGAGCAAATTATGCTGCATTGAATGGTACATAGGAAATTTCATTTTCATTAAGTTTTTATGTTCTAAGAAGTCATATACTAGTTAAAGAATATTATAAGCAATTGTGAATGTGATCTGACCAAATATTAGGACTCAGTATGTCTCTAAACCAAGGTATATTAGATTTAGTTTAAAATTACTTCAATAGAGTTTTGTCTCGTTTTCAATCTTGAATATGTGATAATACTCAGAATAGCTTTCTTCGTACTCAAAATCTTAGTATTCTTACTGGTTTCTGTAATTTTTGGCTTTTCTCATGTTTTAAATTGTTCGATATTATTCATGATGGCAAAGACTACTAGTTACCCAAACTTTCTCAAAAATTATGTACCACTATGCTCTATAAGTATACCAACTGATTGCTTTCTGAATTGTTGTGAGTCATGGGTAAATCGTCGAATTACTGCCCAAAAAAAGGCCAATTTTTCAATTTCTAAGGACAAAGAAGTATGCGACTTTTACGATAAATACTTTTCGAATGAAAAAGATTCTAGCTATTAATAATAGATTTATCGTACTCTGTCATTTAACAAATATGAATCTTTCGAAAATGGTACAAACATTTTTCGCTTTCAGCACCCTGAAAAGGATGCGGGAATGGACTATTAAAAAGATTACTTTTTGTTTTATTTTGTTCCTTATGAATTTAGATTCTGAGCAGCTGATTTTGATAAGAATATAGAACATTATTAGATTCACTATACGTTCAATACTCTTATTCAATATACGAAATTATTAGATACACACGATTGAAGATCAAACAAAACTGTATTGAAGTAGCTTTAGACACAATTTGATATAGGTTTTCTTAGAGACATACTGCGCCCTAGTATTTGGTCATATCAGTCTCATAGTTGCTTTTATATATCTTAACTGATACATGACTTCTCAGAACATTAAAACTTGATGGAAAAATAATTTCCTATATTCTACTTCATGCGACATGTATTGATCTAGAAAACAGTACTGATGACTTTTCAAATGAAAGGTGATCATCTTGCCCGAGAAGATCTTCTAATAATAATAAAAAAATATAAAAAATGAACTTACTGTAGTTTGATACATTTTAAGAATAATTGTGCCTCGTAAAAGAACATCACGTAAATAACAAATTTCAATTTGTTTTCGAGACATATCTACACGACACCATAAACTTGGGTCATAACTATAAGATAGTTTTAAAAAGTAAAAGTATCTTCTTCTTATCACGCATATGACTTTTTGTTTTTAAACATACGTTAAAGAACGTAATTGACGGCAAACTTGAGCCATAGAAGCTAATGATGCACGAGGAAGATATCTTAAAATTGTTAGAATTAATTCATCCGATAATAAATTAAAATAATCTATTAAATAAAAGAATAAATAAACGAAATGAATTAAGATATGAAGAATATTAACCTATCTGTTTTGAGTTTGTTAAACTAGAATACATTCTCACTTTATTATCTTTCATTGGTAAAACTGCAGATAAATCAATAGGACGATATCGTATATGAAGTGGACTATTTACTGTTGATGATAATTTCTAAATTAAATAAAGAATTTTATTTTGAAAAACTAATTTTTAATTTGACATACTGAATCATTTAGAGTCACATTAGACAATTGTCTAGTAATATTGGCTGAAGAAACTCGTGCCGATGATGGTCGATCTTGATCATCATTAATACCATTAAAATATGTAGTTCGACTATCGAATAAAACTTCTGGTGCTCTTGGACATATATTACTATGTATATTGATTTGATTTCTAAATTATAAAGATTAAGTTTATATGTAAATTTCATTATTTCTTAATTAATTTCCTCATGAAACCAAAACGATCTATTGATTAGTTGACTGAAATAATTCAAGTAAAAAGGCTAAGATTTCAAATATTTAAAATAGATCCACGAAAATTATGAAGAGATCGAATAGAAGATATGCTTTGTCGCATCTGTAACTGAGACGTCATCTGACAATATCAATGGAGTTTGTTTACTCACTAATGATGAATCTAATGTAGAAGTTAGCTTATTTAGTGATACTATCGAAGGACTCTGTTTTTGAACCTTGCGAACTACCTAATACACAACGTGTTGAGTAAATCTAAATATCTTAAGAAGATTCAGTGAAGTTTAAATAAAGAGCATGACAATACAGTTCCATAGGACTGCACCGTGCTCTGTTACACGTCCATGCAACATTGTGCAAATCTCTACAAAATGCATAGCAGACCACCTCATAGCTCGAGACGTGTATGAGTTACACTGAAGAAATGATTTCGTACTCATCAAACAAAAAAGAAGATAGAGCTGTACGTAGAGTACAAGGATGAGATCACCCTATATATCTTTGATGACGATTATATGATGTAGTAACAAGTAACGTGTGACGAATTGATCATAAACACAGTGATTGTAGGTTGTCAAATGCTACTTGCACTAGGCAGCTTTTTTTGTAATATTTTCGAGAGGATATATTTCATGTTTGTTGTTCGTGTGAAATAGGAATGAAATATTGATTACGAATATGAAATCAATAATCGTTTACAATGCGTTGTCAACATATCAAAAAGTAAAGATTAGAATTTAATTCAAATTATGTTAAACGTCATAACGTTAATGCCAAATTAAATGATCATAAAGATTCATATAAGTATCTCAGATCGAAACTTATTCGAACTTTTCAATATCTACCTAATTATCGAGACTTAGTTCTATGCTAATTTCGATTATACGCTCTAGTTAAACAAGATTTAATCTATCAATAAAACTCCGAATTCTTACATTGTGATGCAACCAAAGTTTTTAGTTTATTGAGTCAAAATAACATTTACTAAAATAATATATCTTTGGTTCACATCTTTCTTCATTTGCTTTCTCATCAAAATCTTGTTACTTTTGAAATATTCTAAGTTCCTACCATATCACGGAATCGGAATCATAGAGTTGGGTTTATAGTTGATAAAATAAGTCATGAACATTGTCCGAATTCTAAGTATCAGATGAAAATGCTGACTGACTTTAGAATTAATTTCTCAGTGTTACAAAAGAGAAGATTTAAATAACTTCACCAAATTCTACTACAATATTTTTTTTTATTTTGAATATAAATAATGCAACTTACTGTGAAACAACTTGTGGAATAAGATCAGTTGAATCACAACGAGTCAAAGAGCGTGTTGGTCCGTGAAGTTTTAATGCTTGATAACGTTCTTTAACTTTCGATGGTTCCATATTTTTTTTTGTAATTCTAAACGTTATTATTTATATCAAAATATTGTTTTCATATAAAATAAAATGTTCTATGTTGGTTTCTTTATTTCTAGTATATGTAAGTTTCGAAGACAAAAGAAAAAAAACGAAAAAGAAAACATAACATCATTTTAAAATACCACATGTTCATATAACAAAAAAAAATATCTAACATTTCTTTACTATACTTTTTTTTATCTGACATAAAACAATTACAATCGCGTACGTAAACCCCAAATAGAGGTACGTTGTATTCCTGTTGTTGGTCGAGCAATTGTTGAAAATGGAAACATATTTAAATGGATTCGTATACCGAATTCATTACGTAATTGTTGCAATGACATTTGTGCTAATGTACCAAATATATCCAATGTTGTAAAAGCGGGTAATAATTTTAATGTACTGAAAAAACAAAAATATGATTTGTTCTTTTTTATTCATGCAAAAAAAAACTTACATAAGTGCTGCTGGTGTAATTAAATAACAACGTGATGCAGATAAATGTCCAAGCAAACGTGAATGTTGACGAAATGCTATTATTGATTGATCGGTTATTAATACTGAATCACTTATATCAAGAACACATAAACGAGGTGCACGCCGTACCAATAATTGAATATCTTTAATAAAAAAAATTAATTTAAAAAGAAACACTGTAAACACAATTTTAGTAAAATTAAAATATGAAACACAACATAGCTGCTGTTGCTAATAACAGGGAAATGCTTTTATTCTATCTATTTTGAGACACATTTTTTTCAGCATCGTTTTACTAAATACTTCAGAAATGCAATTGGGAAGTAGTTTATATATAATAACGAGATGCTATTGATATACGATCTGTGATGGTCTTCGAGCTGCGTCAGTCGCGGCTTGTGAGGCACCCAAATTTTTACCCGGATATTTCAACACCTGTTTTAGGTCATATCTCACAAAAATAAAAAAAAAATAAAAACTTATTTATTTACAATCGTCAGTTAAATTATAACGTTGTCCACTGATATTCAATTTTTCAATACAACGAGGAATTGTTTCACATATATATTTAACACTTTCCGAAGTTAGTTCAGTCCAAGCAATATTTAAACAACGTAATCTAGAATGGTTTAGATATATAGAGAATAAAAATAGATAATTATTTACATACAATGAAAGTTTATTGGTTATTAATTGACAACATTCAAATGTTAAGCCTGTACACATAGCAAGATTAAGTGTATCAAGTTGTTCATGTAAAACAATTTTTCTATAAGAAATACAGAAGTTCATTGTTTTGCGTGTTTAAATATGAAAGACGAATTTTACTCGATAATTTTATAATTCAATGGCATAGATTCTAAACTAAGTTTACGTAATGAACAACATGAACCAAGTAAATTAATGAGAAGTTCAGTTGAAAGAATTGCTAATGTTAAATCAAGATGACACAAACTGAAATAAAAATATAGTTTCTATGATGTTCAAAGACATTGAATAAATGCAAATACATACGCTGATGATTCAATATCAGTTAAATTTGAATCTTCAACCTGAAAAATGTATAATACACAAAATTGTTACTAGCTTATTATGGACATGTGAAGATTTAATTTCAAGAGCAACAAACAACAAGACAGTTAGTTTTAACTATATTTATTTAGTCTCTTTTCATGGTCTTATTCATTCTCTATTTTCAAGGCATTTTAAACCATACGTCACTATTCAGTATGTACATATAATTAGAACCCTCTATCATAAGAAGAACAATTCCATATAATTGACTGATGTTATTAAATGTCTCTAAAGTGTACCTAAAAGAACATGGTTGAATTGCTGGTTATAAATTTATAAAACTACAATGAATCTTAGTGGGATCCGAGCCTATCTCACGCAATCAACAAGCTCTCATATACAATTCCGAATAATCTATTTATAAAAATAATAGTTTAGCGTAATTGGTGGATATTACCAGCGTACTCTACTAGTCTTCAATAGATTATATGTAGAAGATGAGCGATTTCATCTAATACGATGTACTTATAGTAGTATGAATAAAACTGGCTAAGATCTGCGCGAACTCTAGATAAACATGTTAGAATTAATTGATTGTTTTTCAAAATAGAATCGAATCAATGAAATTTTTGAGCTTTAGATCTCGTCAATTGGTTTTTTCAAATATACACATATTAATTCTAAATTTCATTCAGCATTATTCAAAATCGAATTGAATCAATAGAAATTCTACTCCTGAGTTCCATTAATAAAAATCTTAGCTGTACAGATTAGGTCAATCGAATTCTTTAAAACAAGATTTAATCACTAGCCTTTGTTGCTCGAGAAATCGATATTCTGTCCTGGATTGTGAAACTGAGTCTTTTTTTTCAGAATTAGATACACTCAAAAGAAAAGTATTTTATTCTTTTTAGTATTAAAAAGTTTTTGATTCATATATTCTTTAGAACTTACACGTAAGTAATAAAAATTTTCTCTATCGAATTCGATTGAGAAGTAATTCATTCAACATAAAATTTAGTGCTCATTAGATTCGAAATTGTTGTAAAATGTATCAAATAAACTCACAAAATTGAAGAAAACTGTCTTACTGTTGTTTGACACATTCTTAATGTAATTGTACCACGCTGTAAAACACTATTTATTTGTTCACTATCAACACGTCTATAAGACATATCAATACGATGCCATAAAGTTGGATGATGTCTAATATATATATATATAATCAATTGACTTTCTTTTTTGTTAAATAAAACAATGAATATCATACCCTATTGCTCGATATCTTCGACAAGTTTGTATAAAAGCAACTAGAGATACCTTATTTAAATAACTAAGAATCATTAAAATAATTTCATCAGGTAATTGACAAAAATTTAACTTAGCTATTGAAGACAGATAAAAAAAATTCTTTGTTTCTATGATAAATAAATAAAAAACTTACAATCTGTTTTTAATTTATTTTTATTTGTATAACGTTGAAATGTATTTGATACATCACCAGGCCACCGTGATAATGTTGGTACATCATGAATTTTTGATTTATTTTTTCCTTTGGATTTTTTTAAACGATCTTGAATTTTTTTTCCATTTATGATCGGATTTTCATGATCAAGTTCAGTTTGTGCAATTATTGTGTATTTCTTAAATTGATTTATAAAAAAAAAATTTCAAATAAACAAAAAATCTTCAATTCACTTACTCGTTTGGAAGTAGTCATCATTTTTTAAAGAATAAAAACAAAACAAATCAATATAATTTACTCGATCTTTATTCACGGCATCTACCGACAAAGGTTTTTATTTGTCCAGTAGATGACCATAACATTTCAAATAACAGTCCAACGTAACCTATTGAAGAACATTTATTAGTTGTTAAAAATCAAAATAACTACAAGATGGAAATCGAAAGAATTATTTATGGTATCGCTATAAAGAATTTCAGCCTCGATCTATACATGAACTAATATTTGCCAAAAATTATTGATATTTGTCAGATATTCAATGATAATGGTTTTCTAAATTTATCTTAAGTTAGTATTGCAGTGTGAGTGCATGAAACTTATGTTTATCAATGCTGGGAAAAGATTTCGAAGTTAAATATCAACGAGAATTGAAATGAAAAACATGTGTATCCAGAGATGTCCCGAGGTTACCAGAATTGGGGAAAATTGATCACCCAGAAGCAAACGAGAAACAGCTGAAATTAGATATTTTTTTGATTAAAAAGTACAAAGCAAACACTTGATTTTTTTGATTTTCTGTCAACTTTGAATAAAAAAAACTACAGGAAAATCAAAAACATCACTTTTTTTTGAAATTATTATAGTACGATTTCGTTCTATAAATGAACGAATCGTTTTCTTTTAACAACCAACTTCGACCTGCAGACTTAAATTATAAAAAAATACGTAAGATCAAGGCATAAAACGTTTAAAACCAGACCTTTTTGAATAATTGTTTTTTTTTTAATTAAAAATTGATAAAAAATAAACAAAACAGCTATTACCCCTTTGCTCAGGAGAGTGACTGGAAGATTTTTGATAAAGTTGGTCAGAATTTAGGGTAGGAGGGTAGTTGAACGTTTTTCTGGGAATTGGGTATTTCTTAAGCAGTTGTCTCACAGAGAACACATATTAACATTAACTTCGAGGTTCGCCATCAAATAAAAAGTGTTTCACCATTCGATACAATGTTGGTTATTGGCATATGACATGTTCACGTTTTTCATGAATGTTTGAACTTACATTTTCTCATGTGACAATAGAAGGTGTGAATAAGACGTGAGAGTATCAGCACAGGACAGATAGTCACACCCATTTTTCGTAACATTAATGAAGAGGGGTAAAAACCATCACGAAAACGTGATCATGTCATATACGTAAAGCTCACATCGTATCGAAAAGTAGAACACCTACTTAACGAATTCCAAAACTTTTTTGGAGGAAATTCAATCTCAGTCCAAAGCTGAAAATGAGTATATGTTTCCAATGTTAATGATAGACGGTTGTAATCGTTCGGAGGGGGCTTAACCTCTTCCTGCTACTAAAAATTCTTTCTAAATAATATTGAATAGTTAAGAATAGTCATTTTCATTTATATTCGACTTGATTTTCTTTTGTATTTCTTTGTAAGTCAATAAGACTTAATAATTTTCTTCGAAAGGAACTGAGTCATCTCCTGGCATCATCACTGTTTTAACAGGCGATGCAAAAGTAACGACACAAAATGTCGATCCCTGTTTCTCTTCGATAAAAGGGTGTTGTGAGAAAAATTTTTTTTTTAAACAAATGATAGAATTTTTTCTCGTATTTCAAATCGTATATAAGTTATTTTTATAACACGTTCATAAAGGAAATGACGCAATAGAAAAGAGATACATTCTTAGAAAAAAATCCACACTTTTTTCTATAAAAGAATCGCACACAATGTCGATCCTTATAGTTTTTCGATAAATATTTTCTGAAAAAATTATTTTTTTATCAACTGATAGAAAATTTTCTCCTCATTCGAACGGTGTATGATTTATATTGATCACACATTGGTAATTAAAGCGAGACGAGAAAAAATAAAGAAACTTTCGCGGAAGAAATTTGTAATTTTTTAGATGAACTTCTCAAAAGCATCTTGTAGATGAAAGCTAATTATAATTAACTGTTGTCTAACGAGATGCTTTTACGCGAGTGTTTCACTATTTTCCTTATGTCATTTCATTTACGAATATGTGACAAGTATTAATCATATACTATTCGAAATAGGAGAAAATTTCCTATCAAATAATAAAAAAAAAAATTCTTTTCGAAACGTTTATATCGAACAGATATACGGATCAACATTTTGCACTGTTTTTTCTGAATTTCACGAAAAGTATGGCTCCGTCTTTGAGAGTGCTTCTGTTTTTTGGCGCGTCGTTTCGTTTATAAACATGTTGTAAAAATAAATTGTATACGATACGAAAGAGGAGAAAAACCGCTATCGTTTGATAAAAAAGGTTTCTTGGAACACCCTTTTATCGAAAAGAAATAGAGATCGACATTTTGATCCCTTACTTTTGCATCGCATGGTATATTAATAGAACAGCATAATCATTAAAAATGGGAGTCATAGAAAATAGTTAAGTATTTGAAACACTTATCACCTCGTTATTAGTAGTGAATCTGGTCTAAGTTCTAATAAAATTTTGTTATGGATTTACTGATCGTAATATGTTTTGACTGTTTGTTTTTTTATTAAATATATTCGTATCATTGTTATTGTATTTGTATAAGTCTTTCATTTTCAATGAGAAGAAGATTAGCTAACGACATTTGAAACCAATTTTTCTTCAGTATTAGTCATAGTGACTTGGATTGGTTTCGATAGAAAAAATGGATAATATTGTAAATATTATCTTGATTTATTTTCTAGAAATGATGTTAATATCTTAGGAATAATTATTTGATCGATTTCTTAACCTGAACGAGTAAATATTCAGAAAAGAAATCTTTTAATCAAAATTTTATTTATTTATTTTAGCGGATCCATATTCAACAATGACTTCCCAAAAGTTAACATATGATGATTGTTGTTTATTACCTAATATATGTTTAAATTCAGAACGAATTTCTTATCTTCTTGAATGTCGTTTTAAAAGTAATTCGATTGGAGCAAGTTTTGATTTTAAATCAATTCTTCCTGAAAAGCCATCAAATAATGCAAAAATTTCTCGATCATTTTTAAAAGTTTGCCCAAAAAAAGTAAATCCAATAAATAATAATGATGAATGTATCTCATCTGAATCATCGGAAGATGAAATTGACCAAATATCTTTACCAAAAACACCAATCAATGCTGCTAATGATGATTATCTTAATAGTCTTGCAGAGTGGGAACCTAATAACTTTCAACCAATAATTGAAAGTGATGATGAAGAAGAAGAAGAAATAGAAATGAGAATTGATATACAAACCGTTGATAATGATAATACTCACGTTGAATACATGGATTTATCAACAAGTAAGTTCAATATGTTTTGCAATATTATCAATTAAATTCTTCATAATTTTTGGAAGAAAAAATTTTGAAGTTAGAAAAATGAAAGATATTTTCATTTGGATTGTTAATAAGATGGAACCGATTTGTGCAGGTCTGGTCGGCTGGTTGTTACCAGAGTTGAGTACAGGACAAAAAAAGTAACTGATAACAAGTGAATTGATCTAGCACTATGTCAGATGAGAGCACAAATTTTTCCTGGTTGACTTATTTAAAAATTAACGATGGATCAGTTGTTCATTTACATATGTTTATTCACTATTGTGTCGCTTCATTTGTTTCAGAGTGTAGTAGATAAGACTACAGTATAGGGCGAAAATTTTAGTTTCATCATGTCTTGTTCTGTCGTACAGGATCAGGACACTCACTAGTGTTAAATTTGAAAATTGAATTCAATTGAACAACTACTATTCAAATTTCAATTGTCTATGTTTCCCTGGCACCTACATCGAGAGAGTGACTGTTTATTTAAAAGTTGAGATACGAATATTTTACTGTTTTTTCGATCTTTGACCAACTATTAACGAAAAAATAGAATGAAATAATGTTGACTCGAAAATTTGTCTAGCAACAGGTCCTTCAAAGCCAATAAACCGTCCAAAAAGTTCCAGTGAAAGCAGATAATCCCTTCTAGAGATATTGACTAGGGAAATATATCTTCTTTTTATAGACAGGCGAGAAAATCAAATCCTTTTCAATATCCAATATGTCTAGAAGAAGTCATCTGTTATTACTCGAACTTTAAGGGTGGTTTATCTGCTGTGAGGAGCCTATTTATGGCCAAAGTTTTGAGTCAATATTCCTTCATTCTATGGTTGTAAAAATGACAAGCCGCAAGCTGCTGAAAAACCAATAATAAGAGCAAAAAACAAGCTTGATTGGTAATTTAACACCAAAGTTTGAACTGGTAGAAATGATTCAATAGGATTGCATCAGTCAGTATACCAACATGAGTCATTCTTCACTTTCTGACCCTATCACAGTTTAAATCAATCGCTCAATTAGTCATATCTGCGTTACAGTAATGTTATGGCAGTTATTTTTTAATTAATTGCTTGCTCCTAATAAATTTCCGTAAGCTTTTCTTGTCTCTTGATATCTACTGCCGAAAATAAAACATTATAGGATTACCAATTTTATCGTAGTTGTCTACATTTATTAACAGTTCGTAAAATATAGATGTTATCCATTACTACTATAGCATATATAATCTGCTTCTCACATTTCATTCGTTTTGTTATCTCTCATGTTTGTGTGAAATAAAGAATGTTTCATAATAACTGATCATAAATTGTTTATGATATTTTTCATACTTTTGTTTGATATAGAGCGCTGACATTTTTATCACACATATATCTAATCTAGATCTTTTATTTCTGAAAGTTTCAGCTTTCTACGTCTAACAAAAGTATGAAAAATATCATTAACAATTTATCCTCAGTTATTATAAAGCACCCTTTATATCCTATAAAAAGTAGGAGAAACCTAAGTAAATCTATGATAAACTGCAATGCTAAGCAATTATTCAATTTTGTTTTGATATACTGTGACATGATGTGAAAGTTTGTTGATAAAATATGATGATCATGCTAAGATGAATCTTTAGTAAATAGAGTAGCTTGATGTATCTTCTCGTATAGACTTAGTCTTTCAAATCAACAAAAAAGTGTTTGATTTGTGGAAAAGTAACATACAAAAGTTCGACAAAAATTCACAGTAGTTGATAGAGAAAAAGTTGTATCTACTGCCCGTTAACCGTTATCGGTCATAACTCTGACTAACACTTAAAGACCTTTCCTTATTACACTTGTACAAATTGATATATGTGTCTACAACAATGGATTAGATATTAATCATTTTTTGATTCAATTTCAAGGATCATCCCGATTCTATATGTCTATCAATCCTGACTTTGTCACTTCGCGTTATGCAACAAAATTGATATTGATATTCTTTCTAATATTTATCGTTGTCAAATTGAAACTTTCTTTTTTGTGTTTTTGAAGTGTCTACAAGTCAAGCCGAAGATGTTCTTATTACATTTATTGATCGTTCAATAAAAAGTGAACCAATGATATATGATAATAATAATGATTTTAGTTGTTCACAATTAGATGGACAAACAGATTTTCTATCCGATAATAATCATCAAGTAGAAAAACAAAAGAATGAAAAAAAAAATCTAGATCAAATTATTGCTAAAATAAAATCAAATATTTCAAAATCAACTCAAACTATTGAATTAAATAATGCATCACAAAAATTTGATACATATCAAACAAATCATAATAAGAAAAAGAAAACTTCTAATCAATCACATCAACAAAATAATAAATCATCAACAAACAAATTTACATCACAATTATCATTGTCTTTACTTGAATCAAATGAAAAAGTTATTTATCCATTTGCTAAACGAAATCGTATCTTATCAAATAATCAAATAATTGATGAAAATGTTTATTCTCGTAAATTTTTAAGAAATTTTTATTAAACTAATTAAAATTTCTGTTTTTAGAATACAAACATAATCAAAAAGTTTCTTCATCTATAAAACAAAAATCAATCGAGAAAAATATGAAACTAGTTCAAGCAATATTAAATAATTATCAAAAACCAAAATCAATTGATTCAAATCCAGATTTTATTCAACAGAAAAAACTTCCAATAAATATTACAAAAGTTTCTAAAGTAATTCATTCAAATTATATTACGAAAAATAGAACGATCTCTGTTTTCTATTTAGTCAAGAAATTTATCCGTTGTGAAAAATACAACGAAAACAAAACGATTGAATGTTAAATTAAACCATAAATCACAAACTGAAACACGTTCAGCATCAAAAAGTAAAGACAAATTGTTAAAGGAACATACTGGTAAAACTCTTCTAGACTATTATAAAGTTATTGAACATTCATCTGAAAATAATAATATTCAATGTTTTCCAGTCGTCAAACAACAAATTAATCGAATGAAATCATCGATTAATAAGACAAAAGAAAGACCAACAAATTATTTCGATGGATGTATTGTAATTGACGATGATGATGATGAGAAGAAGAAGACAAAGAAAAAGAAGGAGAAGAAGAAGAAGAAGAATGATGTCAAAGATGATGATATACAATTAATTGAAGAACAACGGTAAATTTTTAAAATTTAGTAATTCGACTAAAGTTAGCAAGTTGAAATATAGAATGAGGAGACGAAGACATATCGAATCTTATATTAAGATTTTTTTTAAAGGTTTTCAATCGAATTCTTTAAAAATAGATGTACCGTGTGAAGTGACTATAGTGGATTTTCAGTTATTAGATGTGCATTCAAACTACCAATGAAAAATCTATCAAGCTACGCAAGCCAAAATTTTTTAGATGTAATTAGTTATTCAGGAGTCATAGGTTTTGTAGTGAAAATTCTCGGCCGATTTTTCAAACCATTGTTGTAGAAAATAATCACATTTTTTACTTTTTTCTTATGTTAAAAGGAATTATTTTTCCGACACCTTTTTTTTTTATAAATTTGATTAACAAAACTTCAGAAAATATCTTTCGAAAACCGATAATATATGATTCAATACGACTTCATCTCCTTTTTCCTATGATTAACATCAAAGTACTCTACCTTGTTTCTATCAGAATTTATTCAGAAAATATTCATTTACCTTTTATTTTTTAAATATGCTTTAGAAGCATGAACATGTCTTAAATTCTCATTCAAAATATTCCATATTTGTTTTAGTTAATTTTTTAGACATTGCTTTTTTTTTTCAAGTAAAACTTAGAATAAAATATAAGAGAGTTCAATCTAACGAGGAAAAGTACTTCCAACTAATTAATCATATTTAAGTCAGGACTTCATGTATCATGTAGATTCTAATGAATTATGAGTACCCTGAAAAAAAGTTCATTGGTAAGTTTCTTTATCATTTTCTTCAAGACATGTCTTTCAACCAGAAAAATGAAAACTTGTCTTTCATAGTTCAAGATATTATCAATACTTCTTTTTCGTTTTCAAGCTGTAGATTGAGAGTAAATTTTTATCCGGCTAAGTTTTTATATTTGATTCTTGTTTTGAGAAAAGAGAGATTTCGTGTTTAGCAGTTACCTTTTATGCTTATTTTCATACGCTCATAAAAACTGAATACAAGCAAATTTTAAAGGTATGTTTGATCGAAAACTATACAAAGATCTTGGTTTTAATATAAAATCATTCCGAATTCTGTATCTATTTTCTTGACAGAACTTTAGAAATTCTTCTAAAGACTATAAATGACCTATGAATAAGCTGAGAATTCGCTCTAGTATGATGGATTGGACTGATATTTTGATCCAAAGTGTTCCTCGCTAAGATCATTTATTCTTGAAAATCTTACACCAAACAAGCCAATCTAAGTGTAAGATCTATTGTGAGAAGTGAGTTCTTTAGAACTAGGACTCGTAATGGGCTGCCGGGTTCTTTCGAGCCGAATGGGTCTAAACTTTTATATGACTGCCTAACCCAAGTTTTATTTCTTCTTTTTCAAGGGAGATTTTCCATCTAAGAAGACAAAAAAAAATCTGATTTTAATCAATTTTATTCTGATTTTTGGTTGAAATCTCTTACATAAGTTTTGCATCTCGCAATTGGTAACAACAAGAATCTTTGCTATGGGAATGTTTTAGAAGTTTCATTTAATCAATAGATAGAAGCAAAGTATTTATTCGTTTCAACGACATTATGTTCAAAAAATAGTTTGTGCTCAAGAAGTTGGAGTATCCACCAACTTATCTTGTTCTTTCAGTTTAACAAGGAATTTGACTTATCTTTCTTGCTGTTTTTTCAAGCATTCAAATTGCGTGAACTTATTCCACTCGTGTTCATTATTATAAATTTTTTACAATGTCGTAATGAAAGACTGCAGCGATTATGGAGCTCTATCTTCTAAAAACACTTATTTGTTAAAGAAAAATATTTTTAATAGTGCTACTCTAAGCTGAACGATGCCGGGCTCTAACAAAGTAGAAGTCAGGCTAAATTAACACGAGCTATATCTTTCAATCATACTGATCGATAAAACCATTAGTTTTAGCAAATTCTAGTCGACAATTTTCTTCAGATTCTAATGTTACATGAACACACAGTTTCCATTAGTGTAGACCAGTGTCGAACGTGAGTCATATTTTCGTGATCTAAACCAAGCACTGGTGTAGATTATACGACATAGAGAATAATTTTATGAGATAAAATTTTAATGCCTAAGAGAAATTTCGTATGACATTCAGTCTTGAATTAGTAAAAATACCTGTCTTTTCTTACTTTATTTAGTTATTCAATTCATAATAATATTCATACTCGTGAAAAACTTCTTGATCATACTGTTGATTCATCAGAAATGCGTATTAAATGGTTAGTTAATCTAGAATTAGTTTTACTCGAACATATTTGGGTATGTCATCAAGAAAATATTCAACCAAAAAATGAATTTTATTTAAATAATTGTATTAAATATGAATGTGTCAATAATGTATTATCATATGATATTGATGCATCATTTATTTCAATAATAATTTTAAATTTCTTAAAAATGTTTATTATTAGAAATTTAAATTATGATCAAGATGAACTTTCATTTTTTCAATATGGTTTAACATCTCATTTACGTTATTTATTAATTGAATTACCAACATATAATCATAAAAATAATAATCATAAGAAATGTTTACAATGTTATCAATATTCTTCTATAATAAATATTTTATTTGATGTATTATTTGATTTAATTGAATATGATTTATGTGAAATATATAATAAAAAAATATATCGTTCAACATTAATTCAAGATGATTATTTTAATCAATTTCTTCAACAAAAAAAAATAATAAAAAAAAATAAATTTTATCATATTAAATTAGTTATTTATTTTATTGAATTAATTGAAATACATAGAAATAAATGTCAAAATAAAAAGGAATTTTTTCATATCAATGAAAATGAAATATTTCAATCGATTGAAAATTTTCTTCAACATATTATTTTGAAAATAAATAAGTAAAGAAATTAATGTAAGAAAAAAAAAAAGACGAAATTATAATAATTTTATTTAGTTCAAATAATGAACGAATTTCCATATGTTTTAATATAATGGAATTATGTCTTTTATTTGTAAATAAAAAAGAAAAACGTATAAAACAAGTGAGTTTTTAAGATCGAAAAATTTTTCAAACAATTAGTTTTTTTTTTTTTTAAGATGGCCTTATTCTTAGCAAAATTATGTCAAGAACATCCAACATATTTACATCGGTTTTTGTTTGATGAAAATTTATTATCAGATATTCGTTTATTATTAATTAATGAATTAATATGGAAGAAATTTAATATTAAATTCATTTCAATTGATTCTATAGAAGAAGTTTTTGATCATATTGAAGTAAGAAGACTTTCATTTGTTTTTGTAAAAATTAAAATGTTTCCTTTTTTATTTGCAGACTGCATTGAGATTACGAAATGTAAGTGTGAAAATACAATTCAAGAAAAGAGAAAATAAGACATTTCATAGGACTATACCGAGTAGGAATGCAATGATGACGGTATACCGGTGCTACGCATAGCTGTGTATTGATCTAAGCATGAACGTATAAAGTAATAGTGAAAACGGCAAACGAAGGATAAAAATAGACTATAAGTTTTCGAAGTTCAGAAATTTTAATCTAAAGGAGGTTTGTTGAATTCGAAATGAATCTAAGACCACCGTAGTTTTATCATGCGGTCGCCGTTTTTACCGTTATTCTATACGTGTATGTCTAGACAAGTACAGTGATCTAGCTAAAATCAGTAGATCGGTGATCGTCGTCATAATTGCATCCATATTCAGTAATACNTATCTTTAGTTTATCTCTACTAATTTCGATATATTATCCTTAAAAATCGTTATAATTCTTGGCAAAGAAGCTATTAAGAAATATATAATTATGTGATGTAAAGTTGATAAAGTAAGTAATATGGACTCAGACGCATGAAAAACATGACATTGCAGGTGATGAGATGGACATAAAAACAGATGAGTCTCAATATCAATAATGAAAATGTTCATTTTCATTGAAGAAATTGCAATACACTAGTTTCTGTATTCATTTCTCGAAATTCACGGTCTTTTTTCTTTTTCTGATTTCTTGCATAAGGTCTGATATTTCTAGTAATTGATGCATCTTGGCACTCACAACGACTTTACTGAATAACTTTTCCTTAAATTCTTCTTTTTTTATATCGATGAATGTAAATTTTTTGGATAAAAATCATTATTCCTGAGAATAATATGTATATATTGTTAATCATCATTAGTACTATCCATTAAATCATTTTGGAAATTGTATACGAACGAATAGATACATTCAAAAGAGCTTTTAAATTCATAAACGAAAAACAAAGTAAGTAAACATATTGTTTAAAACATATTCTCAATGGAAATACTGTGCATATCCTTGTTTTTTTGACTGAACTTCATGACAATATGTATATTTATATGAACGTTTCATTGAGAACAGTCAACTTCTGGTCTAACTTTAATCAATCGAACAGTATAATCATATGACGTTTTGTTTATTTCATAGTAAAATAAATTTGATAGGATGTAAATAATTTTGACATGTATCAAAATCGCCGAAAGAAAAAGTAATGAACCAAAGAATAGCGAAAACATGAAAGTCGACATGAAAAAGGGCCAAAAACAACTATGACGACAAAAAAAAATGTCGATTATATAAAAATAACGAAGATGTTCTAGAAATCGCTAAGTGACATTGTATCTTTTAGTTCTGTTCTGGTATCTACCTGAAAACACGGACCAGGATAGGTAGTTCATGGTTCTAAATAAGTCTCTTAATATGGTTGCGACGAAACTCTGGTAAGACCGTCTAAATTATCCTTTTTGAATTGCTTTGTAATTCATCTACTTCATGATCTCTCATTCAGCTCTATATAGATTTCTTTTAATGCTATGGCTAGATAGGTCTAATAGACGAATGTTTATAGTAGAAATATCTCAGCACAACCTTTTAAGATTGCTGAGAAAATAAAACTTTAAAGAACAATTTCTGTTGTGCAATTGAAGAAAACTACTGTAGCACTTCCACTATTGGGAGCAGTATATTTCGAACAGTACATAAGTTTGAGCTGTAACTTTCAGATTACTATTATGACACATATCGCTATCTACAGCAAAATATCGATTAACTCAGCGATCTTGGTTGAGCAACCCTAATCGTAGCTCTTGTGAAAACTATCCCAGGATACTAGATATCGGATGAACATGCGGATTTTGCAATTGGTAAAAGGTACTCGTAATAAAGTTCATTAATCGAAAGCTGTTTGATTTTGTCTCATTACTTTTCGATATGGCAAAATGACGAACAATTAGGTGGACCTGCATGTGATTTTTTTAAAGTGATTGTTGCTCCGCAAGTCTCATTGTATGCTTACATTGTGACGGTTGTAGGTAAATTTAGGAGATCCATATGATCACGTTGTCATGCAAATTTGTAATGAAAAACAAACGAGTTTGAGAAAGAAAATTAGTTCAAAATCCTGTGTGAGTCTTATACTCGGTTACAAGGTTCTTACAAAGGCTTATCAAAAAATTAGGAAAGTCTTTTCAGAAAGCAGATTTGCGTTCACTTTTGAAACACTTAAGCATATAGAGGACATTGATTCGGAACAAGAAAATGGACGAGGGTGTGCATGTGAGGCGGATGATAATTTTCTCTAGACCTCCATTGCTACCCATCCCGACACCCGCACCCACAGCAACCTGCAAAAATTATTATTGTGTACCTTAAATTAATCAGTGAGGATGGGCACAAATAGACACACATGGTGTGATATGAAGAAATCAAAGACCTTCTATCATCTATGTAATGACGTTACAACAATCAGTAGATTCTATCACCTCTATGGATGAAAGGTTTGACACAAAAGAAATTCAGAAATTTAGCATCATTCGATTTCATGAGAATTTTTCTCGTATTCCAGAGACATATGAGGGAAGTCTGAAAATTTTAGCATGTATACAGCAGATGTTGAGCTGCAATTTAACTAAGTTGAAATTAAGAATGTATGTAAAAAAAAAGAGCTTGTCGGAGTTTTATTCAAAACACCTGCAATACTTCCAAAAATTTTTCAAAGTTCATTGAATTCAGTCATAGAGATACCAACAGCCAGCCTCTATCTAACGGTGAAAATCGTGCTTCAATAGCTATTAGCGTTGCAGAGTTATTAAACAAACAACTGAGTCCACTTTATTTTGAAATTGATAATAACTCCAGTCATTACAACAGATTTTTTTGTTCAAAAATATCACCTAATTTCACAAATTTAAAAAATGTAATTTTTACAATTCTGTTTTCTATATAATTCCACACAATTTTTTTATTATCCCTCGTTGAGATGAATTATCAACTAGAGATAGAATATTTAGATTTAATTTATTGTTTCAAAAACTATACAGTAGATCAAAAGAATTTATATTTTAGATAACTTATATTTCGTAAAATTTATTTTTATTTTGAAAAACAAGGAGCAAGTAAAAATAATTCACATTATTTTCAATTGAAATTATTAATACTTTACTTTATGCGGAAATCGAACAGCAAGTAAACACCAATAGATACGTCTATCTAAGTCTCAAACTATTCAGTTGGTTTTCGATTTCCATATAGGCTTACACGTAAACCATAACTGGATTCTTCAGTTTTTCAAATAATGATTTGGACTTATCCACTTGAACTAAAGCGTGTCCATATTTCGACGAGTCTTACATTTGATGAATGATATGCTACTCATCACTGTGACGGCAATTTAGTTGCCATTCTTTTAATCTTTTAAAATCTTCGATCAATTCGCTGCGCTCATTAAGTCGTAACAGGGTGTGGGTGGGGGGGGGGGGTGGATGTGGGTATAGGTGTAGGTATGTATACTTCCCTACACCTACATCCAGCCACACACACACCAACACACCCACACTGCTATCATCTTTTTAAGTTTCTTTTCTCAAGGTCATACAGATGTAGATGAATAAATATAGCAAAATGAAACGAAGATAATAGCATGTTTATAGAGAGTATTGTTTATGGACATGAATAATAAATTAGTTTTTCTCTCATGTATGTAGAAAACGCTTGTTAGCGCAGCTCCAAAGAAACTGAAATGTGGAACTGACATAAACCTCTCGATACATTAGAAGACTTTCTATGAGAATTGTTTTTCTAAATGATTTCTAAAGCTTTTTGATTTTTTTAGCATTTATGTATATGTTAATATATAAGTTTGTTTTAGTATGGACAACAGTTTGTTTCCACTGTCTTAGCATCATGTTAGTTCTGCATTGAAAAACTTATGAGAAAAAGTTAATAGAAAAGAGCAGTTTATAAAAACAAAGTTTTCTGTATAAAAAAAAAAGTGTGCCTTGAGATCACTTTAGTTCTTCATTGTACTGTATTATGAAGAAAGTTGCTTGATTTCCTTTACGAAAATATTCGTTCCAACGACAATAGTATCTGATTAATAATCCTTGGTGCGGATCCAAACTTGTCACACATGACGAAATCTTTCTGAAATAAGAATATCTTCGGTAAAAACTCGCTGTCCATGAGTTCATACTTCGCTTCGTCTGTGCACTTTCTTCTAGAAATTCTGAAATGTTCTTATCATGGAAGATCTCATTCATAGTTGGAAAAGATATATCTCTGACGATTTAGAATGAGATATTTTTTATGAAATATTTCTCCTATCTATGTCGACACATTTCTCTTGCCATAAAGATACCTAGCTGCTTTTCGAAATAGACACAAAGGATTATAAAATGTCTCTGAATGTTTATTCAATCGCTCTTTTTCTCTGAATTATTTCTTCCTAGACAAACATATTCATTCAAATTTGCTAGAAACTAATAACTCAGCTGGTAGCATATTTTATTTTAAACCAATTCTATTTGTACAAGTCAACCCTAAACATAACCAACTAATAAGTTATTTATACCATTAGATAAAAGTCTTTCTCCCTCTTTGTTCTTACGTTATCATACTTTGCATCAAATTTGTGACCAAATAAAGATATAACATAAGAGTTTTATTTCAAGATGGTATAGATCACACCGAAATAAAACTCTTATGTCATATAGTTACTCGGCAATAAATTTGACGCAGTGTGATAGTATCGAAATAGAGAGGCGGAAAGACTTTTATTCGAGATTGTAATTATATAGAATATAAGTGTTACTAGTGAGAGATTGTATTCTTTAGAAAAAATAATTCTATTATAAATCGCACGAAAGTTTTAAGATATGTTGTCTATATTGTTTCAAGAACACTCTTCTAAGTAATTATTGTTCTCTCTTTTTTGTATTAAAATATTATTCATTTCTTTTCCACTGATGACCGTGGAATAAATGAAATAAACTCGTTTACAAATAGTTTATTCGACAAAAAAGTATTGAAATTAGAACTTTTTCTTTAGATCACTAAAAAAGAATTGACGTTTTTAAGGGACATTGTA